GGGAAGGTCCGCCCGAAAGCGACGGTGTCCCCGTGGTCCCTCTTCTTTAGGGAGAAGTCTGCAACGTGATCAACAAGAAGTACAACGAGTTCCTGCCCAGCCTGCAGAGCGCCGAGGACCTGGTGGCGCAGGTGGAGGGGCTGGCCGGCAGCATCGACCTGCTGAAAGCGGGAATTGAGAACGAGGTGAGGGTGGGCTCTCCCCTGAGGCTGCTGGGGAGTCCCAAAGTTTCATCCCAAACCTGTATGCGCCCCCGTCTTGGTCCGGTACGAGGGGACAGGGAAGGAGGACTCCTGACTGAGAACCCTGAGTGATGTCACCCCTAAAAAATGCCTTCAGGTGACACAGGCTGCAGGTGGGTCACGCTGGGGGTGTAAGTAAAGAGCTGTCATTAAGGGATTGGCTGTGTACAGATAGAAAGGCCTGTCACAGGTGTCTCCTTCAGAGGGAGAAATGGATCAGCCTTGGATATTGCGGGAACACGCAGCAGTAACAGGCTGAGTGTTAGTCCTGCAGTGGAACCTCAGTCCTACCTGTGCACAGTCTTTAAGGAGAACGTGAGCAGCTCCTGCAGGGCAGGTTGCAGACCCATGCTGGGTTTTGCTTGTTTGATTTTTCAACATCTGGTTTTCTGTCGTGGTGTTAATTGATCATTAACTCTTGGCTTGGTTCAAGCATCGTTGCATTTTAAATGGCTGTGTTAAAGGAACACTGAAGTCCTTCTGACTGCCTTGTGAGACTACATCTCCTTACATCGCCTTTAAAAAAAAACCTATAATGTATTAAGAGATAAACCAGTTTATAAGTGTTTCCAGTGTTTTTAAGGATCCTTCCTAGCAAGAAGTAAAATGGATGGAGCCTTTTTCCTCCTCAACAAATTATTCTAGTAACAGAAATACTTTAAATCTCCTATTGGTATCACTTCTAAGAGGAAATGTGTCTGATAACGCTTGCTATAAATTAACAGAAAACTTTGTTATTTTAGGTTCAGCGAGATCTAAATGTTGCTGTTGCTGAATTTACTGAACTGAAGCAGCAGTTGGAACGAGACACACTGGTTCTAAGTGTTCTGAAAAAGCTACAAGAGGTGAGGAGGCTTAAAATCATTAAGCAGTAGTCATCCTCTCTGGTGCTCAGTGTATGGCATTATTGTGGGCTTCTCTTTTGAGTAACTGTCTCTAGATCCCCTGTCTCTAGCCATGGTTTTTTAAAACAGTCTAATAGCAGGTACACACTGACATATGAATCTATTTGCTTGTTGCAGTTTGATGCAGCTATTAAGGACTACAATACTGCATTGCTGGAGAAGAACTATGTTGCAGCAGCTCAACAACTGGAAAAGGTAATAATGACTTCTTAAGCATGTAACAACACTGTTCATATATACTTTCAAGAAATTTCACAAGATGCTTTTCAGGGCAACAGTTACCTGTGTTTTGTGTTTGATCTTTACCGCCAGGCGAGGAGCAGCCTGAAAATGCTGCAATGCCGCAAGGGCTTTGAGCTGAAGATCCTGAAAGCACTAGGCACAGAGCTCACAGTGCAGACACAGAACATGCTCTATCATCTAGGAGAAGAATGGCAGAAATTGGTTGTATGGAAGCTTCCTCCTTCAAAAGGTACTCACCAATTCTAGTGTGGCTCACTATTTTGCATCACTATTTGAAATGCCTGCTTTCAGGCACCTACAAGTTAGGAAATACAGTAGTGCTGTTGAACTGAGGTTGGTTTAAGGAGCTCTTTCTGCCCTTTGCATAACCTAATGAATGGGAGCGATGAGTGGCAGTCTTCTTTGGATATCACTCCAAAACTGTTACCAGTCTCTGAGAACTTTCAGTCTTGTGAAATATCAGAAGAGGGATGCAAAGCTTCTGCTCCTCAGGAAATCATCTGGGCCAAAATTTCAGGTTGCTTATTATTGAATACCCAAGTCAGTGTAGTAGCTGGAAGAGTTGTCTGAAATTTTTGTTCAGCCTGAACATGTTTCCCCGCTAGGCTAGTTTTAAGGCTGCTTCCACCTTCTCTGATAGGTTCTCAGGTTGCTGCTTTTATTGCAGGCAGCTAATTGCAAGAACTGCTAAGAGCCTGTGTGTTGCTGTCTTCATTGAAACACAAATTTTTCCTTTGGAAAAGAAAAACACCTTTTCCTTTTGATTGGACATGAAATGGGGAGAAGAAGGGAAGGAAAGTGATTGTCACTGAATGTCATTCAATTGCAACCTGACCAAAATGAGAATTCTGGGTCATTGTAAGAGACGGATTCCATTGTCCTGCACTGTAACACAAGGGATTCTGTACCCTCCTCTGATGCTCGTTCCAAGAACTGTGTTTTATGGAAATGGAGAGAGGTAGAATGTTGTGAATGCCGTACCTTCTCAGATCTGCTGTATCTCAGACTGCATGCTGACAGAGATGGTTCTTCTTTTTCTTTAGAAAGCAGCAGCCTGGAATCAGTGATGCATTCAGAACTGCACTTACGCACAGTGCCATCAAAAGAGGAGATTGCTGGCCCACCTGTTGCTTCTGTGCTGCAGGCGTTTGCTGTCCTAGGAGAACTGCACACCAAGCTTAAAATTTTTGGTAAGACAGACTGTGGATCCAGATAAACATAGCTAGAGTAGCCTGAGTGGTTATGCGTTCAGACTTGCTTTAAGATGGATATCGAGATGTAGTTAACTTCAGCAGTACTAGTGAAGCCTTCGTTCTCTCTTGGCTTGTGTTTCCCACTGAGCACGAGGGAATGCTCTCCTTCTTATTAATGGGAAATTATTTATCCGTATTTATCCTTTCCTGTCAATTTACTCTAGTATACTGTTTTGATCTGTGGCTATGTGGTTTCATGGTCTGATGTTTAAAGCGTTTTTCCACTTACAGCCCCCTCAGCTACCAAGAGCAAGAGAGTTGGTTTCAGGCAGCCTCTGGGCTTCAGCATTCTCAGATATTGATAAAATAAATCAGGAAGTATGACAGCTACTAGGACAGGATTTCATGCCTTCAGCTGTTTTAAGTTGGTTTTCACTTTACGTTTAGTATGCTGCTCTTAGGCCTGTATATGTGTGTACATGAGTAAAATCGCCTTTAGTGAGACCAAACCCAGTGTTGTACCTCGTTAGCTGTTCCCTGACGCATCTCATCATGAGAGTGTTTCTTCCACTTCCTGCAGAGAATCTCTGGATCCAAAATAGTCACATTTGGGCCTCACTGGAGCAAACTGCCTGCCTCCTGCTGTTGGAAAATATCTTTTCTTGTTATTGTTTCATAGGCCAGTTGTTGCTGAAATACATCCTCAAGCCACTGATTTTATACCCGTCTCTTCAGCCACTCACAGAGGAACAGTCAGATGTGTTCATTCTGCGTTTTAAGTCCGAGGAGCCTAACTTGGATCATTCCTCTCCTATGGAGGTTTTTGACAAGATCAAGCTTGTTTTTGCAGTACTCCACAAGTATCTGCTGAGTAGGTAGTTTCTCCCTTTTGGAATTAGACTGAGGTCAGTACCTTGTTCATGTAATTGGAGCAGAAGCTTTCTAGAATACCTGGTGCTTAAGCCGTATTGAATGATGTCTGTGGTCTAAGCAGCTTTTAATGTTAACTTGCTGTGCTGTGCTCTTGGACAGCTTGGCACCTTGTCAAACTGGACTTAGCAGTGACCCAGCATTCACAGAGCTGGGAAAATTAAGGAGGAAAGTATTTTGGCTCAAAGAGATCAAGGAATTGATTTTTTGGTAAATGTTTTTTCTTAAGAACCAGTCACTGCCTTGAAGATCTTTGCATGCCACAGGTCTGAAAGGTGGAAGTCATGATGCAATCCAGGGAGTCCCCTCACTCAGGCTGGTCACATCCAGGACCTTGCATTGGCTAGAAACTGGCCTGGGCTTTGCTAGCTTTTCATGAAATAAACATGTCAGGAAAGCAGGCTGAGTTCACACATAAATTCAGTTGCCTTTTGATTGGGTGGGCAATTCCACAGGCCCAGCATGTGGCCTGCATAAGAAGAATACCTCTGGTACAAGATTACGGAACAGTTGATAGAGGCTGTTCTGATAGGAAGGACCAAATGAACTGGTGAAGAGTCTGGTGTATTAAAATCCATTTCTGCTCTCTTGAATGCAGATGTGCCTCTTGAGCAGCCTGCAGAAGATAAAAAGGATTGCAGCGTTACACTCGCAGAGCTGCTAGGTGATACGATATGGGAAGAGTTATCGGACTGCCTCATTCAGAACTGTCTGGTGAATTCCATCCCAACCAATAGCAGCAAACTAGAGCAGTATATAGAGGTAAGTCTCAAAAATCTTTCAGGTCCATTTTGGAAATTCCAGATGGAATTTCTAAGAGCTCGAACAAAAAGCTGTGTTTTGCTTATCTAGAATTGTGTATTTCTCTCAGGTAAGCTGTGGCTTGTGTTTCCTGTCATGTAAAGTGTGCAGAGTCTCTTATCTGTGGAACTTGGGCCATATTCAGCCAAGACCTGGAGACTTTCGGGGTGTGCGATGTAAGGCGCTTGTCTGAGCCTCTGTGAGGGGCTGAAGATGATGGTGTGGCAGTGCTGCTTGCCCAGCTGGCTTCCTGAGGACTGATTGCTCTGTTTGTATTTGTGGTTAATGATCACAGCGGTTTCTGTCATAGACCACATAATTTATTTTTTTTAAACGACATACATAAAACATAACTTACTGCTAGTGAAGAATGACAGAAGCTCCTTTTCCTAGAGAGGAAAAGTTTCAAACAGAAAGAGTTGTAGGATAAACCTCCCTGTCCTCTTGCCTGAGGTAGTCCAGTGTAATGAAATTTGATAATCTTGCTCCTCTGGTTTTTGAATTAGGTTGCCAGCACAGTCAGGGGGAACAAACCTGCAGTTCAAACACTGTATTATTGTGCGATCATGGCCCCCCAGCCGAGCCAGCTTTTTCCAAAAGATTACTGAAAAGCTGTTGGATGGTTAGTGCTCTCTAAAACCTAGTTTCAAGCTTTGCTTTCAGCTGAGTAGAAGAGTTTATACCCAACTACAATTTTGTTCTTTGATTTTAGGAAGCTATGTTAATAATGTGTCTGCTCTTCTCAGGTGATTAAATCCACAGAGGAATTTGAAAGCGCCTTAAAGAACATGCAGTTTTTGAAAGGAGACGCGACTGATTTACTGAAATACGCCCGTAATGTCAATTCCCACTTTGCTAACAAGAAGTGCCAGGATGTGATTGTGGCAGCCAGAAACCTGATGACCTCAGAAATACACAATACTGTGAAGGTGACTGTTGATGCCATACACTGTCTTTGGATGTGGAAAAATAGCTTAGCTATTGAAGAAAGCTTGTCTAGAACAGTTGAGTCCGTTTTTTTGTGGAGCACTGAATACTCTTGATTAGTTGGGGATTTTGGCAAACAACAGTTTCAAAGCCTTTTTTAATAGTGCTCAAGAGGGTTATTTCATTAGCAAGATATATCTTAAAATACTTGAAGTTCACTTGCTAGGCTTTTCTGGCTAGCGTCATAAGCATAAGAAAAGTTAGGGGATTACTTACAGAGTTGCTTCAAGGCGTGCAACACCACATAGACTGTTGTTCATCAGACTGGAGACTTTCAGCAGCCTTAAAGGACTTCTGCAGCCCTGTGTTTATCTTGAGTCTTAAATCTGTCATTCAGTGTTTTGTAGTCTTGCACAGTGTCCTTTCTGTGGGCTCTAAATTATATTATACCTCTCTGTTGCTTTCCCTTAGATCACACCTGAGTCCTGTGTAGCCCTACCAAGGCTTCCTGACCCTGGGGCAGGAGATCACTTAGAAACAAAGAAAACTTCTAAACTTCCACATAACGACATGATGAATTTGGAGAATAAGACTAAACTGAGCCAGTACACATTTTCTCTGCCCACGTGCCGCATCAGTTCATCAGTGGAGAAGCTGATGGAGCTGGCTTACCAGACGCTGTTGGAGGCTACAGCCAGCACAGATCAGTGGTAGGAATTATCTATCAGCGGGTAACTCTTGGGTGTCAGGTACTTATTGCCTTTGGCAACACCAAACATCTGTTAATAGATTAAAATAATGTTAAAAGAACAGAAAATACTTAAAACTTAGAATCAATCATTAAAGTTACTCTGTTTTGGCTGGAGGATGCATCTCTGGGTTCGTGCAGTAGACTGGTACAACAAGAACAGCTGCTGACTCTGTTCCCTGTAATACTCAGGTTAAGCAGCCTTTCAGGATACGTTTCTAGGGAACATTCAGGTATGCTTTACTGTATTTCAGCTATTAAAGCAGTAAAAACATGGTAAACATCCCAAATGCTAAGTGATGGCACCCATTCTGAGAGGAGTTCTTGCTTTCGTTGTACGGAGTGAAAACAAGGAAATCTAGCTCTGCATCCAGCAGGGCTTTTCAGAGAAAAACAGTTAAATATTTAAACATTTAAAGCACATACAGTCTCTTTTAAAAACTGGAGACCACAACCCTGAAGAAGGAGAGTTGCCTAGGTACTGCACGCCCTTCAGCGTACCGTGACAGAGAGAGGGCTGGCTATTTACACACACCTGGTAGGGAAGGGACACTGTCCCCTTTGTTCTGGGGTTTCACATATCTCCCTTCTGACATGTGGTCTGAAGCTTGTCTTTTCCACACTGAACTTACAAGGTCATCGCAGCCTTGGTGACATTGCTGTAACTGATCCTGACAACCTGCTCTTTGTGCCAGTACTTCACTACTAATAAAACCTTGTTTTGGAGAAAGTTAAGAGTCACTGTGAACAAGACGTTAGTGCCACTGAGAAACTAACATGAACCTTATTTTTCTTGTAGCTGTATACAGCTCTTCTACTCTGTACGGAATATATTCCAGCTGTTCTACGATGTAGTGCCAACATACCACAAGTAAGTGTGTGTGTGTTACCTAGGGCCTGTTTGGAGAGAGAATGATGCTTTTGGAACAGCCCCGCTTGTCCCCACTTTTTCCAGCACAGAGATTATTAAGGGCTTCTTCCACCGGCAAAAAGCTAGTACTCTTTAATCTGTTATTACATTGTACCTGCTGCAGAATGGGTGCTTGAGAGTTTCCACGTTGGCAATCTTGTGATCAAGGAGATAGTTGCAGCTCTTATAACAGTTGTGTTTGAATCCAGCCACATCAGTTTGACCCCAGGTCTAAAGGAGAGATTTCTCATGACGTTTTTCCTGTAAAAGAGAGCAGTAATGAAGATTGAAAGTATACGATTCTGTCAGAGAACACAAGGGTATTACTGAAAAGCATTTCTCTCTCTTTTTCTTCACTGTAACTTTGCTATAACAAAGTACCTTCCTGTTTGAAAGTCCATTGCTAGGAACAACATGGATATAGCACGTGGTTCGAATGCCAAAGTGCCATTTCACTAGCGGTGAAACTCCTTTCTTGGAAGTTCTTGGGTGGATGTGACAGGAGGAAGTTAAACGCTTTTCTTCTGGCTGATATCTGTACCAGGCATTGCCCACAGTTAGTTACCTGCAACATCTGAGACAGACTGTTAGTTTCTCTAGGATAGGTGTAACAATTTTTTTAACAGAGCCAGGTCTAAATAAATAACATTTCTTCCTTTTCTCTTCCTCCCTCCTGGGATAGGGAGAACCTTCAGAAATTGCCCCAGCTGGCAGCCATTCACCACAACAACTGCATGTATATTGCTCACCACTTGCTCACCCTGGGACACCAGTTCCGATACCGCCTGACTAACATCCTGTGCGATGGAGCAGCGACTTTTGTAGATCTGGTACCTGGTTTTAGGAGACTTGGTAATTTTTTCTTTCAGTATTGAAATATATTGATGGATGACACTAATTAATCCTGGTATTTGTTGCTGAATGATTCGATGTAAGTGTGGCTACTGACTTGAGCAGTGGGTTGCTATTTAAGAGATGAGTAGCAAGGGCTTTTTGTAGATGGGGAAGTCTGACAGAGCATTACAGCTGTAAGCAAGATGGCTGTTCAGGCTTGACTCTTTGAAACCCAACTCTTCTCATCCAGCATATAATTCCAAAAACTATTCATTATCCAGCAATACCTGGCACTTGGCTATTTTGGGATCTGCTGCTCACTCCTTTGATACTTTCTTTAGCTTATTCTATGGAAAGAAATTCCCAGATAAGTTTGTATGAGCCAAATAGGAGCCTGTCATCCATGGTTAATTCTGCTCTCAGCCCTTCTGAAAAGGAGTTGTAACAATGCAAGAGCTTACCAAATATGTGACTGGGCCTGGTTGAATTTACTGTTTAGAGACTGGAAATTCCTTTAAAAATAAAACATCATAGCAAGTTCATTATTCAGCGCTTAGAGTCTGTAAATTGGCAAAGCAAATGTAGTAATTGCTTAATTGCTTTTTTCTGCTTGTTTTTGCTCCTAAAGGGATGGAGTGTTTTCTGGCCCAGATGCGAGTGCAGAAAGGAGAAATACTGGAGAGGCTCTCAAGTGCCAGGAATTTTTCTAATATGGATGATGAGGAAAATTACTGTGCAGCAAACAAAGCAATAAGGCAGGTAAGCAAGGCAATCAAAGCCAAAGATCTCATTGTCTGTAGACATTGTCCTTGGGAAGGTACAGTGTGTAATCTCAGGACTGAGAGCTGTGCAGTGTTTCAGCAGAGTGGAACTTCTCTCAAAACAACACTTTCCTGGCACAATTTTTTTTTCCCCTGGGCTGTGGCTTTTTGTGAAATTGAAGCGTGCTGAGTTCAGTTCCTCTTACTCCAGGTTGAAATTAAAAGCTGCTTAATCTTGAACTTTTATCCAAAGTACATTGATAATGTTTTTCATTTTTCAAGGAAAAGCTCTGTCACACTTTTGGTGAGCCTTAATGCAAACTGAAAAGGTTGCATTTTTTCCCAGGAAAGTCTCCTCTATGCAACAGCAGGATAGTACCTTTTGCTTCTTTCAAACTGGTTTCTGACCACATGTGGTCACCTTATCATTTGCCTCTCAGTATTATTTTTGATAAAGTGGAGATAACACGTAGCTGTTACCTTCCAGGTATTGCATCAGTTGAAGAGACTGGGAAAAGTCTGGCAAGACGTCCTTCCAGTGAACGTGTACTGCAAGGCCATGGGGACTTTACTGAACACAGCTCTCACAGAGATTGTCACGAGGATTGCTGCCCTAGAGGTAACTGCACGAGATGGACGTGCCAGGCATACAGTGGTGTGAACAGCTAGCATTTGTGACCTCTGGAAGTTCTTTCCAAGATCAGGTTTCAGGGGAGCAGTTATCTTTCACAGAAATCATAGCTGTGGTCCTGTGTATGAGAAACGTTCAAGATCCCAGGAACTCCCATCCTGTTGACGCTGTACAGACTGTTACAGTGATTCCATGACTCTGTAGTCAAGGGGAGAGTCAGGGAAGTGGCTGTGATTTCATCTTAATTTGGGTTTAGGTGTGTCACTCCTACTATAAACATTTCTATGAATCAATCCTTTTTTTTGTTCAGGGCACAGGAGTTAACTGTTGTCTCCAACTCTTGTCTGTTCAGATACATTTCCCATCTGTGCACCTCTAATGAACCTCTCCATCCTATCGAGGCACCAGATGCCGAAATACTTCTGGCATTTCAAACTGAAACTTTTACCTGTTTAAATCTCCATTTGACTCCCAAGACTGTGTTTAAGTGATTGTCAGGTTACCTTGGGTCAAGCACAACTATCCTGTGACATTTCTTAATTTTCACAGCAAACGATCGAAATACATCAGTGCATCTGTTCTAGTTGTAGTCTACAAGTAGAGAGCCTTCCCACTGTGCATTAGGCCAAGAAGTCCTCTTTCCCACAACAGCTAGTTCACAGGACACTTGCTCAGGCTGTGCCTGCCAAAAAGCTTGGCATCATTGGACTGGCAATGGCTGAGTAATTTCCTTGTAAACTGCTCAGACCTCCTTCATAACACTCATTAAACAAGTTATATTAGCTCGAGATTGTTAAACATGATCTAAACCACTGTTTTCATCTTCACACAGCCACCTTTTTTTCATTTCCCTTGCTGCTTGGCACTGCAAAAATCTGCCTAACTGCTCCCCTGTTGATATTTTTTCAATTCTAGGATATCTCTGCAGAAGATGCAGATAGGCTGTACTCCCTCTGTAGGACCATGGTGGAGGAAGGACCCAAAGTTTTCACCCCCCTACCTGAAGATGAAAAAAATAAGAAATACCAAGAAGAAGTTCCGGTCTACGTGCAGAAATGGATGACGTTCAAAGAGTTAATGATCATCTTGCAAGCCAACCTCCAAGAAATAGTAGATCAGTAGGTGTCTTCCTTTCTTCCTTTTCAGTTAGTTCTCTACCCCAACAATAGGGAGCTGGGAAGCGGTTGGACATCAGCAGGGCACTGCACTCAGGAACTCTGTTCAGATCAAAGGCAATCACCATTAATAAGGATCAGATAACTGCTCCCAGGGCTGTTTCTTGGCTGTGTGTGCAGAGCGCATTTCCAGCTTGCTCATAATATTCAGCTGCCTCCTGCAAAGGAAAAGGCAATGCTAAAAAAACCCACGTGCCGCAGGAGAGCCCACTGCAGAGTGATTGCGCATGCCCCTTGGCCTCTCTAAGTTCAGAAGTACTTCACAGTAAGCAGCCTGGCATTTTGCCTACTGCTTTTGATGTTAGCTGGGCCTTGCTGCTGCAATCGTTCCACATGATTGGGTTCTGGTTTTTAGATGCTGTTTCTTGCTTCTTTGAACTTGCAAGAGGGATTCATCTTAATTACCTGTGAGGATTTGCATAATTACTTCTATTACATCTGTTGGCATGAGTGGTCAGGAGCTGGACAGTCCCTGTTCACAGCTGCCTCATGCCTATGTCTGAATGGCAAGAAAACATCCTGTCCTCAGCAGGCTAAACCAGAAAGGTACCAGCCCTGGAAAAAGCACAAAGGGGACTTTTCTGTGCCCTGCTCATTGCTGCTGTTGGAGCATGTTAGACACCAAAGGGTCCCAACTCGACTTCCACCTGGGCATAAACCACCTTTTGTTTTGTTTGGGAGGCGAATGGGAACTTTGCAGACAGGCTTTGGGCTTGTTTTGGAGAAAGCTACGGTTTGTGGTGAGTGCAAAAATCACCTCACACCCTGTTGCTTTACATACCTAGCTGAACAATTCTGGACTCAAGATGCACGGGCTGCTACCTGGATTTGTTTTGCCTTCAGACTTATTACTGTAACGAGTGCTCAGAAGGCTCGTGTTAACGTTAAATGTCTGCGCACAGTTTGATTAAATAAAGATCTTTCTCTCCCACGCAGGTGGGCGGATGGGAAGGGGCCTCTTGCAGCTGAATTCTCCGCAGCTGAAGTGAAGAGCCTGATCCGAGCCTTGTTCCAGAACACAGAAAGGAGAGCAGCAGCACTGGCCAAAATTAAGTAACTCTGTGTTTACTCCCACCTGTTGCATCTTCTGATAAAGCAAGAGCAAAATGAGTCTTGCAAATATTTCTTGGACTTGACCTTTCTTATTTGTACTGGTGTAAAAAAGCTTAGCATTAGGTAAGTGCTTCCTGGAGGCTCGACTGAGGGAGAAGAAACATTTTCCTAGCTCCGTGTTTGTAGGGCAAAGAGGACGGCTCTGTGAGTCTGGGACTAGAAAACCAAAGGTGGGTAACAAACAAGCACTAACTGCTTGTGCTCCGTCTGCCAGGCAGATGGAGTTTGGGCTTGAAAAGTCAATCTCCTGCCACACTCCCCAGAGGTGTTCTGCCCAGATCCAAGTTTTCCTTCGTGAGCTGGTGGGCATACAGTCCTGATGAAGAGGAGATGCTTTTTGTGATGTTTGTTAATTTCCATTCTCTAGGATTTCATCTTCCTGTTAAGCACAGCATAGGGAAATAAATCTCATATCCCACATCTCTTTGTGAGAACAAGCACTGCTGTCAGATTGGCCTCTCGTGCAAGGTGCTGTATCATGTCATCTCAAGCTTGCTTAAGAGTCTTGTAAAGCAATTTTTATTTCTCAGTATTGAATCTTATTCTATGCAGTTTCACATCAGGGGGCACATAGCCCCTTTGTGACTTACCTCTTCCATCCCTGCAAATCACATATGAAATCCACAGACTGATAGCTTTTGATATCCTAAGAATGCTGAAGTGCCAAATTTTGCTCTTTCCCACCTCAGGCTGCCCTGAAGAGCAGACCTCAGGAGAGTGAAAATTTAGGGGGGGCAGAGGGGGAGGAGATCCTCTTCTGAGTAAACTCTTCATCAAGTCACAGGGTTTTACACAAGTGGCAAAATTCCTCGTGGTTTCATTTCTCATGGGAAATACCTTACAACTGACTTAGGATTTTTCACTCTCACTTCACCAACTGTAGAAACCAGTTCAGCTCCTTCCTTCACCTTTCTGGTGTGTGTGAACTAGGTAGGTCTGGCACCTGTAGTCTCTCTGGTAGTAAATTTTCTGTTCTTTAAGAATGAGAGAAATGTTAATATAAAAAGAAAATGAAGTGTGCACTCATAGCATTATCTTTAAGTTACAAAAGGGTACATCTGAGACTTTGAGAAGTGCACAGGGTTTTTAATTGAAAAACTCACCAAGAAAATTCCTTAAAACACAGGCCAGAAGACAAGATGTGCCAGTGGCTGCACACATGGAACAAAGCATTTCCTACCATGTAGTGCTTACAAAAGTTTCGATCACAGAGTTTAATCTTTTATCTGCGGTTGTATCCTTTCCATTTGCACTTTTGTCTGACTTCTGTTCACATTTCCAAGGGTTTACGCAGGGCCTGAATCACCGCTGGCTTTCACATTGCACTCAGTCCTTGCAGAACCGAACGGCCGTTCTGCCGGCTGGGGCAGCCGAGCAGAGCCGTGGCAGGGGGGAGGAGACCCTTCTGTTTCTGGCTTTAACTGCCGTAGGGAGGGGGCAAATGCAGTCAAATTGGCAGCTAGACCGAGTCCAGCACATGGGAATGCAGCAAGGGAGGGAGATACTGAAGGAAAACCTCACTTCCACTTTAAACTCTAGCTTTTTTTTCTTCCCCTCCAAGTAGTTTCTCTGAAGGCTGAGAGTGTTCCTATAACACTTGCATCTCATGGGATCCCCTACCCCTTTACACGTAGCAATCCAAAAAAACATGTCTTTTGAAAAACACTGTTTCTCCCACGTGTATCTTTCAGAGAAAAGTAATTTGCTATTTTCTTTAATAAACTATTTATACTGAGCATGTTTTCTAGTGTTGTCTGGGGATTCTATTAGGGCTATAGTAACACAGTATAAATTAGTCCTGGACCATTCTCCACTTACTACCTGGAAAGGGCAAAGTGTTGCTCTGTGAAGTCTCTCATTGCCTTATTTCTAGTAGATCTAGACACCAAAAAAAAAAAAAAAAAAAAAGAAGAAATAATAAGTACCATAAAAGAGGTTGTCCCAGCGGTTCATGTGTTGAGGGGGAGCGTAGGGTAGTGAAGGAAAGAGTTAAAAGAGGATGCTGACACGGGGATTTGTCTGTGGAGCAGGCACAGCTGTAGGTCAGGCTGAGCATCTGCCTTTGCTCGCTCCAGCTTACCTCAGTGACGTGATAAATCCACGGCAGAAGCTGAGCCACGTTGGTATAGACCCCGGGGTGGTTGGGTTCAGCACAGCCCTGGCCCCAGCTCACGATGCCTACTAAGCGCCAGGTGAATTGGTCCTGGCAAACCAGGGGGCCCCCGCTGTCACCCTGCAACACAAAGCAAGGACTGATGCAGGAGCTCTGCCCCAGGCAGATGGGGCTGGCTTTGGCTTTGTTCCATCACCCGTACAAGCAGCTGAAACAGGGTACAGGAACGAGAGCGCGTGCCTCCTGCCTCCTTCTACAAACACAGTTAAATCTAACCCCAGCATTGATGCAACCGGGCCAGCAGTACCCTGCAGAGACTGCTCTGCACACCCAGCACGCCCCGCCTGCTCCTCCCGTTACCTGGCACGCGTCTACTTTCCCGTGCAGGTAGCCGGCACACAGCATCCTGGCAGTGAGCTCGCCTGCGTACATGCACGAACTATTGCACTTCTTGGTACCGATTAAGGGAACGAGGGCTTCCTTCAGTGTCTCGGTAACCTGCGCTGGAAGGGGAGAAAGAGAAGGCAAGAGGGAAACATGATCTGCAGGGAGCAAGGGGAGAAGAGCAGGGCACTAGCTGGAGAAGTCAGAAGATGGGAAAAATGGGATTTTACCTTATGGGATTAAATATGGCCAGGGCCATGGGATGTGGGGTGCAGAGCTGTTGGAGCAGGGGTGGGATGAAGGCAGGAGGGGGTCACACGCAGCATGGAAGGGGCTGGACAGGGCCAGTGCGGAGCAAGGGGAAAGCCTCCGGTCAGTGCTGAGCAGCAGGGACAAGCCGGGAGCTCACCTTGGTCTGGTCTGGTATAGCCCCAGCCAGAGACCCAACACTGCGTGCCCGGGAAGAGGTCCTGCTGGGAGGGTGGCAGACACACGGCACGGATGGCGTCTGGCAAGAGGGTGACAGGGGTTAAGTGCCAGCGGGGACAGCTTCGTGCTGTGCTGAGCAGGAGCAGGCAGGGATGGGCTGTGGAGCTGTCAGCCTGGCACAGTTCACAACACTGCTGGGCATGCTGCCTCCCTCGTGCCGGGCTTTACGGCTCAGAAGAGGCTGGGTTTGGACCATTTCTTAATTTTGGGATAAGGCGGACAACTCCACAGATGGGAGGAGGACACAACAGCATCTTACCTGAGAAATTCAGGGGGACTTGGAGCTTCATCAGAGCAATGTCATAGTCAAGACTATTATCGTTATAAAGCGGGTGGTAAATTATTTTCTTTACTGGTACCCCAGCCTCCTGCTTGATTGAGCTGTGGGTGATAACACCTGCGAAAACCAGCCAGGCAGAGGCTTGAAGCCACCTGGAACTGAGCAGAAATACAGCGTGCCTCTTACCGTAGGGCAACAAGTGCCGAGGTCTGGGATCAGAGCCGACACACGGCACCTGCGAGGCTGGGCACGGGACAGCCCAGAGGT